ACCTCCATGTGCAGATTTCGTGGCAGGCACAGCACTTTGTGAACCTCTATGTGCAGATTTCGTGGCAGGCACAGTCGAGGCGCAGATTTCGTGGCAGGCGCAATACAAAATGCGTTTTCGAGAGGTAGCGGACGCACGAAATGCTGTGTTTTTCAATAGATAGGGTGGCTCCGAAGCTTGCAAGTCTAGCTTTGCGGAACGCTGTGTGCGAGACGGTCTCGGATCATGGTCGGATCATGCTCGGAATCGTCCCTCCATTGTGATTAGAGGTTTCAGTTGTTTCTTGAAGTGCAGATTTCGTGGCAGGCGCAGCGGCGCAGCACTTTGTGAACCTCCATGTGCAGATTTCGTGGCAGGCACAGCACTTTGTGAACCTCCATGTGCATATTTCGTGGCAGGCGCAGCACTTTGTGAACCTCCATGTGCAGATTTCGTGGCAGCACCTGCAGCACTTTGTGAAACTCCATGTGCAGATTTCGTGGCAGGCACAGCACTTTGTGAACCTCCATGTGCAGATTTCGTGGCAGGCACAGCACTGTGTGAACCTCGAGGCGCAGATTTTGTGGCAGGCACAGCACTTTGTGAACCTCCATCTGCAGATTTCGTGGCAGGCACAGCACTTTGTGAACCTCCATGCGCAGATTTCGTGGCAGGCGCAGCACTTTGTGAACCTCTATGCGGAGATTTCGTGGCAGGCGCAGCACTTTGTGAACCTCCATGTGCAGATTTTGTGCAGATTTCGTGGCAGGCGCAGCACTGTGTGAACCTCGAGGCGCAGATTTCGTGGCAGGCACAGCACTTTGTGAACCTCCATCTGCAGATTTCGTGGCAGGCACAGCACTTTGTGAACCTCCATGCGCAGATTTCGTGGCAGGCACAGCACTTTGTGAACCTCCATGTGCAGATTTCGTGGCGGGCACAGCGACTTTGTAGTACACCTTGAGTACGCGGAGTATCTGGGGAGCTGGAAGATGAGAACTGGCGACTTTGTAGTACAACTTTAGTACGCGGAGTATCTGAGGAGCTGGAAGATGAGAACTGGCGACTTTGTAGTACAACTTTAGTACGCAGAGTATCTGTGGAGCTGGAAGCTGAGAACTGGCGACTTTGTAGTGCAACTCTAGTACGCAGAGCAAGCCGTGGAGCTGGAAGCTGAGAACTGGCGACTTTGTAGTACAACTTTAGTACGCGGCTGAGTCATCTCTATTCTGTATTTTGCAAAATTGCGTGAACAACGTTTTTTTTCCTCTGAGACAGTTGACGGTGGTTGCTTCGCTTTCGCTCCATTGGTCGGCTCCAACTTGCTTTGTCAAAGAACATTGTAGCCCGGCGAGTCAGCCTGCCACATGCCACTTCCTATAGGCTTATTCTTTTGGAAACTTCCGCCGCCGGCTTGCCCGGGAACTACTTGTATATATAGACTGTTTAACCCTTGGGGAAACAACTCCCAGCTTTGACTTGACCTCATGTACTTGCGTTGGTATCAAGCAGGGGGACGTTGTACCTCCGCGTGTGGTTCCTTGTCGCTGCTTGCGATTTCCCTGTTCCAGGCAACCATACGGACCCTCAGAATCGCACTGGTTTGGGGAAATTGTCTCAGACTTTGGATCCTTGACCTGATTAACTGGCACGGAAAATGAACAGATTGCCAAAGGTTCTCTTGTTGTTGTCCATTCTTCATGATGTTTCACTTCTCGCATTTCTCGGCTGAGGAATTTCTTTATTTGAAAGTGGCCCAGTTGGAAACTGCAGTTGAGCCTCTTGCCGACAAAGAAGCGCCAAGAGTGATATGTCATGATATGTCGGAAATGTTGTTGAGAACTTCGTCCGGTGAAAGTTGGGACTTGGGACGCTTTTTGACATGAAATGGTTGATTTGCTTTGTCCTTGGCATCCGGCCAAGGCTGCAAAACATAGAGTTTAAGATTGCCCATGAAGACGCACAAAAGGAGATCCAGCACCTGAAGGACTTGGCTACGGGGTGGGAGGGTGCCTATAAGACGTTTTGTCATTCCAATCTGGAGGCTCAGACCAATCACATGTGGTCACCTTAAAAAGGGATCTATCCTTACGACGATGGGTGGTCTTGTCAAACAATCTTGAAGAGCAAATAGATTTTGCAATAATGGCGAGAACTGGACAGGACCGTTTGGATCACAAGGATGCGATGCTGCAGCAGCTGAATGCCAAGTTGAAGCACCATCAATCCCAATCAGGACATGGCAAGGAAGAACTCCAGGCCTGAGGCTGAGAGCAGCAAGCAGCTTCCACTTCATCTCGTATCATTTAGCTTTTAAGATGCCACGAAGCCAGCAACATCTTGAGGAGCCTGAACCGGTTGT